ACTGAGGTCAGTCTAATTGCAGGAACAGCTTGATTTTTAGTCCTGAGACTTGCGATTAACACCTCAGTCCTCTAGTGAAGGCCACTACACATTCTGTAAATATAGCTTTCACAGCAGCAATGGCTGATATTATGAAGCTCTTAACTTCTCGATATTTGCCCACACTCTGCATGTGTTGGTGGTGGTGGTGTGTGTGTGTGTGTGTGTGTGTGTAAAGAACTTTTTGAACAGGTTTCCTTATTGTACACAGGAAAACTGTTGTAAAAGATGAGATTATGGCATTCACTGGATGTCATAAACAGGCAAGTAAGTGTGGATGGAGTGGGATGAGCTTAAACACAGGGCTGAGTACTAAACTTCAGGCTGTATGCACATAAAGAACCAGTGGTGCTAGGCTCTGGTGCAGACATGTTAAACATTGGAGTGATGTTGCTCATGAGGATGCCATCCTGGGTCCCTTTTTGAAGGCAGGCATAAAGCCCTCTATTAATCTGACCCACACTCTTGTTCAGGACAGTAGGTTAGCTCTGGACTGGGATTATAAGATCCAGCAGAGGCCTTTGTGTAATGAGCAGTGTGCTGAGGGTGTTCCACTTCTGGAAACTCACTGCTGCAGTCACTATGGCTCTGGAGCTTACAACACAGCTGCAGTCCTGGAGTGACAAGGAGACAGGTGACTCTACCTTAGGCAGCAGCTATTTTGCCACTGCATCCTTTGGCAAAAGCCACAGACTAGGAGAGAAGTGAGCTGTATAAAGTTCTAGCCCTGAAACCAGATGCTGTTACCATAGAGACAAGTGAAATACTACTGGAGGAGGCAGAACAGGGGAGGGATGGTGGAGGGAGGTTGGAGGGCAAGTGAGGCGACTCTAAAGGCTAGCACACTCAGAGACCTTCAACCTTTAGAGTGCTGTGACGAGCAGCCTTGCGTTCTTGAAGTTCATTTGCTGGCGGCCAGCCACTGGCTGAGTGGCAGCTGCTTGCATGGCGCAGACTAGCTGAGGAGCACATTAGCAGTTGGTGCCGGCTCAGGGGTGGGGACTCAGAGGTCTGGAATGTCCATGGGTGCTCAAATCCCAGTGGCTGACAGTTTTGCACAAATGTTTCTCATGCCGGGCTTAAGTCACCCTTACAAACCTGCTCAGTGATTAGGACCGGCCGGTGTAAGCCTGTCTGTTTGGCAGCGGATTTGACATGTGTTACAATCAAATCACTTTGGTGTCCCAGGATAAGGGAGACTAAGAAAAACCCTGCTGTGGTGGGACGGCTGTAGAAGGAGTGTAACTCCTACCCCCAAGGCCCTGGTGAAGGAAGGCAGGATTGGCCCCGAGTGGATTTTGCACTGACTGGTGTGACCCTTATCCCCGTGATGTTGGTGAGAAGCTTCCAAATCTATTCTGAACTTTGCCTCATGCTGGAGTTGTGAACAACCCTGGGAACTGTTTAGAAGCATGCTTCTTCCATTTTTGTTTTCAGCAAATGTAGGGTGTGTGAAAGGGCCATTTTTAGAATGAATTTGGGGGCTTGGGTTGAGACTAGATGAGTTCATTTCTTCCTGCTGACTGCTAGAGGAGAAAGCAGGTTGGTTTAAATGGACCTGTCTGAAAGATATACCTGTCTTGCTAATAATAGACAACTTTTGCTGGGGGGGTTTGGGGTGAAGGGACCCAAAACCCAAATGATATCTGTGATGTAAAGATGGAGAATTTCTGCAATCTGTGTAGCAGCCCAGGTACCCCAGGGTGTCCTTTGCTCTCCAGGAGTGGGGGCAGCTGTGGATGAGCAGACGTCCTATTTTAGTCTGCTTCATCACCTCTTCTCACTCCCTAGGGAGGAGAAGCAGCTTTCAGGCACTTTGCATGGCCCATCCAAAGAAGCCGTTTCTGAGGACTGCTGTGAGTGCTGTTGGAAGGAGGTGATGTAGGGTGTTGATGTGACATACCACTGACACTGGTACTGTCTAGCTAGAGGACGCAAAGTGATGGCGTGTTGGGGGGCCAGGTGGTTTCACAGCCCAGGAGGAGGCTCAGGAGGTGGGAAGGAGAGGAAGACACTGCTCAATCCTTAATGGTGTCCCCTGCTAGCACGGTACATTGTGTGTGTCAAATGCTTTGGTCTTGATCACCAGGGTCCTCCATATCGTCGAGTCCAAGTTTTACTTCTGTGTTCATCTTTCTTAACTTCTCAGGAGCAATACACTGTCCTCTTTTCATGACTTCCTTCACATCACTCTTGCTTGAGTTCCCTCTCAAATTATTGTTTTTTGGTACTGAGATTGAACCCAGCACTGAGCTATATCCCTTAGCCCTGTGTTAACTTTTAATTGTTCTACTTGTAAATATTGTTGTGCTTTAGCAGTTGATCTTATGTCTACTTCTCCATGCCTACATTTCTTTCCTGGATGATTACAAAAAGTAGAAACTTCAGTGCCAGCTTTTTTCATTGGTTTCTTAAGCTTGCTTTCCAGCCCTGAGCTCTTGAGCCCCAGACACAGGCAGCTGGTTGTGCACCAAGAGCTCTGTGTTCACCTGAAATGGGCATCTTAACCTAAAGTGCCCAAATAAGCAGATTCCTTCCCAGCAACCTCCATCTCCTAGCTTTCCTGAAGTTTCCACAAAGTTTCCTAGTTTCTTTTGACTCCTAATCATTCATTTTTCACAAAGCAGCCAGGGTGATCCTTTAAAAAGGTAAAATAGCTCAAATCATTCTCCATCTTAAAGCTCTCCAGTGGCTCCCTGACACCTAAAATCCTGACCCTTACCATGGTGGGCCTGGCCCCAGTTCCCTCCAGTACCATCTCCAGCTGTTGCCCTTCTTGTCTTGTCTCATTCTTGGCAGATGCTAACCTTGTTCCCACCACAGGCCTTTTGCACTTGCTGTTCTCTTGGCTTGGAATGGATTTTTTTTCCAGATTCTTTCATGGCTGGTTCCTTCCTGTTATTTAAAAAAAATATCTGCTCAAATGTTCTCAGAAGCTTCAGTATAACCACTCTGTGCCAAGTAGCCCCCTGCCTAATTTTACTTTCTTTAGCACTATATGAAATTACCTTGTTCATCTATTTGTTAGCAGTTTTTAGGGAATTTTTCTGTTACGTTCACAGATGTATTTCCCTCCCTCTGAAATGCTCTGGGACCACAACAGGCAGTAAATACATATTTGCTCTATCATTTAAGCTTCATGGGAACTCAAGGCTCAGGAAGATTGGGAAATAGCTTTTTAAGGCACTTTATTTTCCACTGTACTCCTGATGGCCGACTTCATATCCTGTTGCATGTATTTAGTTTGAGTGAGGAGGAGAAACAATCCTGATCCATATCAGGATGAATCGTTATGTATAAGGCCCGTGTCCTGAAGAAGAGACCTTGAACATGTCTAGAGGTATAAGCTACTTCATGGCCTTGTGCACCCATGGTTGGTCAAGGTGAAAAAGAAAGCAGGAAGCAGACATATTTCTTAAACAATACAGCATCTTCTGAGTCCTGTGCTGCGTGCTTTTAGATGTGTAACAAATTAAATTACAACCAGTGAAAGTTTGATATTACAGTATTATGTGCAAGGTTAATATTATTAACCCCGTTTTATATATGAAAAAACAGAGGTTCAAAAAGTTAAGCACTTTGCTCCCAGTGGCAGAGCCACTAAGTGATAGAACTAGATTTTTTTAAACATGGTGCTACCTGACACCAAATTTTTGGCTTTTTATGCTCAGCTAGTTGCTTTGCTTTGTGAGATGGATATGTTCCTAAAATAGTAAGAAGGAAACTATGAATTTAGTGCACATTCACATAGATTATAACAGATATTTGAAGCACATGAAATTATATAGACAATATGGAAAACAGACTTACAGTGTTTAATGCCTGAGCATATAATGGGATGAATAGATTACAGAGTGAACATTTGGTTCTCTGGCAGGGCTTGTGTACACTGACATAGAGCAGCTGTCCCCAGAAAAAGTTCTTTGTTTTTAGACCGGTACTACACAAGCAGCATTAGAGCAATTCAAGATTTCTCTGTGCTTTCACTATAAATAGAATTCATGGAATTCTGTATATGAAAGTTAATGCAATGGGAAGGAGCCACTGAGACCTTAACTCAGTCTATAAACTAGAAACATGTTGGTCATCAGGAGGCTATAAAAACACTGTCATTCCTTGGATGGATTCCGAGGTCTTATTTAGCACATGAAATTGCAGGGTAGATCCTATTATGTAAGGAGACCGGAGGACAGCATAGTATGATTACAAAATGCAGAACTTTCAGGGAAGAGTTAACAGGGCAGGTATACCTAGAGAGAGACATGTGAGAAGAACACGAAGATGAATGAATGGGTGGCATATACATGTGCCTGTTGCTGAAGCTGGACGCTGGGTAATCCTCAGATGTCAGCTTTCTGTAAGGCCAGCATGTGACTCCAAGCTTGCCACTCAACAGAGAATACTGGGCTGTGTGAGTATTAAGAGGCTGGCTGGAAGCTGGGCTCCCAGTGTGTGTGAGCCTCGCTCCCTGTCGCTCTGTTCCTGTGGGTGGTGTGTGTGTGTGTGTCTGTGTGTGTGTATACATTTTGTGCAGTGGGTGTTTAAAGAGCTAAGCCCTGAAAACTGGATTTCCACAAACGATCGTCACGAGCACTCCAGACACACAAACTTCCTTTCTTGGTATTTTTTCTTTTTGGTTTCATCCTTTTTTCTGCAAACTCCAAGCGGGAGAACGAACTCCCCCCCCCCCCGCCGCCCCAATATCCAGACTACAGGATCAGGATTGTTTTCTCTTACCTGTCTGTGGGGGTGCCCGCTCCAGGGAAGCTATGTGGGACTGGCGTATTCTGAAGCACCAGGAGAGAGCTGTGTGAGGAATTGCAGCCACCCAAGGAAGAGTGACTGTGCCCTGGCAACATGAACAGCAGCCTGCAGGTTAACCTGCCCAGGAGCTGGGCGGCACCAGGTGGCTCCCTCCAGGAGAAGTCTGAGCATTCTTTTTTTCTTTTTTATTACTATAGGATGGAGGATGAAGCTGTCCTGGACAGAGGGGCTTCCTTCCTTAAGCATGTGTGTGATGAAGAAGAAGTAGAAGGTGAGCCTCTTGGGTGTGGGAAAGTGATTATTTATATACCCATGTCTCTGAGATAACAGCATTTGTTAAAGTTGCAAACCAAAGCTTGTCTGTGGAGTTTATTTCATCTCTACATTTTGCTTCCATATAGAAAGTATTTTAGGAACTACACTGCACCCTCAGAATCTAAGTCAGTGTCGTTTTAACTGTTTTTTTTAAAGTCTTATTTTAAAACTAATGCCTGTTGTAGGTCTGCCTCTGCAACAGAAATAAATATTTTACAAGATACTATTAACCACTTTCCAATGACTAATTCCAGGAAGCTGCTAGATTTATATGAATGTGCTTGGCAGCACCTCCTAATATTCTTTTTGTAGCTTGCAGGGAGAGAAACAGATGTTGCAGAAGGGGCCAACGCCACTGTTATGGGAAAATGGGTTAAGCTGAGGATGTTAAGAGTGGGAATTATGGGTGAGTCTCAGTTAAGAAAAGATGGACAAGTATTTTTGACTTAAAGAAAGCCCTCAGGACTTCTTTCACTAATGCTCCTCAGTGCCTGTCAGAAACCAAGGCAGAGTTTGGTGTTAGCTGGTGTGGTGATGCTTTCAGTGTGCATCCTCCTCCTGTGCCTTTTGACTTAGCAGTAATGTGGGAGCAGTGCTACCTGTGTGATAGGGAGAAGGCGGGGTTTCATTAGTATTTATGGAAGTAATTATGTGAGTGCATCACAGGTATACAAGTTATTTTTGATATTTATGAGATTTTTATAAAACAACCAGGGGTGTATATAGGCAGTACTCAAAATGAACTGGAACTTGCAGTTGAACCATAGGATCAGTTTTCAGCTTGAAAGTCACCCATGGGACAATTCACATGTGTTTGTGTCATAGTCTGACTGTTGCAGAATCTTGGAACAGGGGGTGGAGGAGTTGAGGAAAGAGGCCGGGCATTGTGTGTTCTGGAGTGACCCTTCTGCACCACCTTGAGCAGCCTGAGTGGTGTGGTAGTGCTGGGGTTTGTTTCTCCAGTGAGTTTCTTCTGCCTGTGTAGTGTGGAGGATTGGTGCCCTACCCTACTTCCCACATTTATGCTCTTGAGACTATTACATATTTGATGCCCAAGTTTCTTAGAAAAAAGGAAACTACAGTATTTTCTTTCATATTGTTTTATGGGTTCCTTGCATTTGTATGACATGACTATGGGAAAGTATTAAGTTGGCAAAGTCAAAGAACTAAAATTTTGTCTTAAGAGTCTCGTAGTCCCTGATGCTGAATCCCCCACTGCAGTGACTGTCTCACTGTCCCCCTGACAAACAAGAGGCAAAATCATTAACATTGTAGCACTGAAGGGTAAAAAATAATATACATGTCAGTAATTATCCTATAGTTTTAGGACAATTAAAGTGGAAAAACTTGGAGGGAGATGTCCTGTGAGTGTTTTCCTTTGAGAATGAGGTCCTAGTGGAGCTCACAGAAGAGGAACACCTTGAGTTTGTAAGGTATGTAAGAGGGACAGCACTCTTACAGTTTCTTTAAAGCTTTGCCTCAGAAGTGTATTTACTCAGTTACTTCCCTTGATTTTCAAGCACAGAATTATAAATTCAATATAAATGAATAGCATACAAATCTATAACCAGGTTTCTTTGGAGAGAAATCAAAAGACAACTAAAGATAGTAGAAATGCTTATAAAATTCACATGTGGATTTTGTACACTTTTCCATTCTTATGAGACCCTTTAAACTTACTGTCTTTCATGTTGATCAGTGCCTGAGCTGGTTACATTTCTATCAAGGCATACTTAGTTGCCTGTTACTGAATCATGAGACTGTAGCCAGTGACGGTTGCTTGTGGTGTCACCATGCAGTGCAGAACTTCTAGTCGTGGAGGCACTCCTACAGGAGAAGATTTGGAGCCAACAGTTGGGAACTCTGTTTCTAATTCAGTGCCTTCCTATCAGCCCTCTCTCCGCCCCAGCTTCACCTAGTGGCGATGTAGGACTTCCATCTTAGATGGCTCCAGAGTTAGTGTGAAGTTGAAATGGACCTAGGTTTACGGCACAGCCAGTGCTCCTGCAGTTGAGAATGACTTGGTTGTCAAGACTTCTGATGAAGAGTCATGCTCTAAGTGGGAATGCTTTTCTCAAGGATATGAGCCCATCTCATAATTTTTAATTGCATGGAAAAGGGAGTCTTTGAAGGCAACAAAATGTGCTCACTATTCTGAGGAACTGAGTTTCTTGTATGGCAGAAGTGAATGTTCCAGTTTAAGGCTCAGAAAGTCAAAGAATAAGGAACTGGATCACCTTACATGTATGCTATTAGTCATATTTCCTTTTGTCTAAGCAGTTATTTCTCTTGCTTCTAGAATAAACATGATTAAAATACATTGTAGCATCTTAGAAAAAGTAAATTTAGAATAAAACTTTGGGTTTTTTTAATAGTAATTTGCACAGATAAGAGTATTCCTGGTAAATGATTTTGAAGGTGACTACAGTCCAGGAGCTCCAGTTACTCCGAAATGCTCATGCTTTAGCAATGTATCTTAGGTCCCCTAATTCCCTTTGAGTAGTTCAGCTCAGCTTGAAGGCCAAAAGAGCCAGCTGTTCTCTCCTAGTTCCTTCTAACTGTAGTGCTGGGACCAGGAGAGAGACCGGGACTTCATACCATGCCCTCAGTTTACCCTGTTCAACCCTCAGTTTACCCTGTTCACAGTGGGTGGCATGACACTTAATCTACATTCTAAAAACTCGAGCGAAAACCATCAGTTGGAGAACTCATTAAGAATAGAATGAGTCAGAAGAGGAGTCATCTTTTGTTTAAATAATGAATTTATCTATGTGGTATATATTTAAAGACCTGAACCTGTTTTCATATAATTTTATATAATTTCATATAATTTCCCCATGTAATTTCACATATGACATATGTGTTAATGGCTTAGAGATCACTCTCTAAAAAGGGAACCAAGTGCCAATTTTAATCTTTAAAATAAATTGAAGCTTTTATGTCTGTTCTTCATTTGTTTCCTTAGGTATGACTATAAAATTAACATTTTGGGCAGGGAATAGTTGCTATGTATCAAGTAATTTAAAAATTTCAGATATCACTATTTGTTTCTGTACTGAATGGCTGCAGTTTCTGCCCAAGCACTTTCACAGAATTGACCTTTAGGGGACAAATTGGCCTGTAGAATGACCCAGAAATGTTGACTGTGAGAACCAATCATATGAGTTTCATAGGTGGTGATGTGGCCAGGTTTCTTTAGGTGAGCTAAGATTGAGGTAGGAAGCAAGAGTCTCAGGTAGATTTTTCTAAACAGGAGGAAATCTTATGGATATTTTATGCTATAAAAAGTTGGCTTGGAATTCAGATCTGTGTGATATAAACAGATTACTTAATAGTCTCATATTTTGCAATAGGGGAAAAGAGCAAACCCCACCTTATCCTTTGAGATAAGGCCTTGGCTCTGCAAGGGCAGGTAACTCCTCAGTGGCCTTGGCAGCTCTGACTTTATGAGGAGGCACCTCTTAACATCGAGCCCCACCAGAGTGAAGAAACACGAAGTATAGTGAGGCAATGCTGAAACATGTCTCCATTTGTGAGGCTTGCCTGGGGCTCCTTAAAGCAATTGTGATGCATTGTGGTAGTTTTCCACTTCCCTTTGGGACTGAGTCCCAACAGGAAGTATGCTCTTGCCTTTCCAAGAGGGAGCACAGTTCTACAGATGTCCATGCCTATGGATGGCAATTAAGAGGGAGAGACATGTTGCAAATGCATGAAATTTTCAGGAGGGCTTTTAGATGACTGAAAAAGTAGACAAGTAAAAAAGTGGGACAGGATTTAGGACAGAGCAGATACTAAATGTTAGACAAAACAATAAATGAACATATTGTGGACTGAATGAATATGTAGTATAAATGAAATAATGTGAATATAGATTTACTTTATATACTTTCTTACATTTTTGTTTAAAATTTTTTAGACTTTTTTTAGGATCCATTGTCAAATGAGATAATTTAGTCTTTGTCTTATCCTTGATGTACTTCTGTTTGGTTTTATAGAGATCATTATCATTTTTGTATTGTTTACATATTTGTGTTGATTATAAAAAGAAACCTCTAAAACACTTCTGCCTTATATTCTTTTGTTGTTTTCTGTCTTTTGGTCAGAGTAAGATGGTGAAATGGTAGCCTTTGTCTTTCTGAAGGTGAGACAGGGCCTCAATGTTTTACTGCCGTGAGATCATAATGACTGAGTCTGTTTTCCTCTGACCGCCTCATGTGGACTAAGGGGGCATGTTGTTGGAGGTGGGTATTATTCTAAAAAGAAAGCAGGGCTTGGCAGACATTCACTAGTTATCACAATGGTCCAGAAAAGAATTGTCCAGAAGGTGCGAATGAAAACCTATCAGATGGGATGGGCGGCCGGTCCTGGCTGGGCTATTCTAAGCGCGGGACATGGGTGTCCGGTTGCGTTTTGCTGACCTCTCCTCCGCTGCTCACTCTAGTTGCCCAGAAGCACCGTGTACAGAGGAAACACTCGGGCAACTCCTGCTGAAGGAAAAGCCTTCTTCACAGAAACAATGCACACACTTTGGAAACCTTTAAAGAAACACAGTGCAGCGTTTAAAGGTGTTGACCCTGGAGAAACAGCTTGTTTTTCTCAGAGCAGGTGGAGCCCTCACGGACCTTTTCCAGTGCCAGGGTTCTTTCTCCTGCAGCCTCTGCATTCTTGCCAGAAGCCCTAAGGTCTAAGCACTGTGCCCTGAAGCTGCCTAACATCTCCTGCTGCGTCAGTGATACTAAACATTTGCATATAGGTTTATAGCCCTTTAAGGAAATCTGATGATGGTTCCACTGGGTTTTTGAAATGAATTAGACACCACCCCTTTCCAGAGTTTTCTAGTTGTGGAGAACTCCCTGGTAATACTCCATGGGTGAACACCTTCATCCATGAAGCCACTTCTTGTCTTAAGTAACAGCATTCTTTTGTGGCAATAAACCATAACAAATTGAACTTGGT